AGCCTTGTACCATGTGACAAGCTGTGACCAATCACAGCTCACTCTGTATTTCTCAATGAGTGCAGGAATGCACACAGAGAGAAAGAGAAATGATTGCTTTTACATCCTATATGGGTGTAAAAGCAATCATTGTAAAAAAAAAAAAAAAAATAATAATTTTCATCACCCCCCACAAGTAGTACAGTGTCACCATGGTGACACTGTACTGCTAGGGTGACAGTATGTAAAAAAAAAAATAAATAAAAAAAATAATATAAAAAAATAAAATAAAAATGTAAAAAAAAATGTTTAAAAATTATAATTTTTGGTTATAAACTAATTTGTTTTTGTTTGTTTTTTACTAAAAAGATAACGAAATACATTTTGGCAAAGATTTATGATCAAATATTATTTATGTGCAAAATTTTATAAAAAAAACACTTTTGTTCAAAATTTTTGGACTTTTTCATTTACATAGCAAAAAAAAATAAAAATCCCAGCAGTGAATAAATACCACCAAAATAAAGCTTTATCTGTCGCAAAAAAATGGTTAAAAATGTATTTGGGTACAGCGTTGCATGACTGCGCAATTGTCATTCAAAGTGTGATAGCGCTGAAAGCTGAAAATTGCCCTGGTCAGGAAGGGGGTAAAAGTGTCCGGTCTGGAAGTGGTTAATGTGACTTTACACAGCTAAGTTTACCAGCGTTATTAAAACGCCCAGTGTGCATGGAGCCTTAATGTTTACCTCCCCTTCTTCATACCGCCCAACTTTTTGAGATGGGAAGGAGGGACACCTAATTAGCAAATGAATGTAGGCAAAGGATACACACCCTGCCATGCCCCCTTAAAAGAGAATTATAATAAAAAAAAAAAAAGATTAGTTAAACCCACAAGCGCTTTTTTTTTTACAACTACTATTCCTTTATTCTGGCTTTTGAAGTTTACAAATGCAACCATTTAGTAACTGGATGAAATGTTTATCACTGAGAAACACTTTTTGAAAGATCAATAGTGTATTTTATACACAACTCTATAGATAAGACCAAATGAGGACAAATGAGGAGGAAAGAGGAACAGAGGGACTTTGTTCCAAATCAGGGACAGTTGCCTTCTCTAATAGAAAAAATGTGGCAGCGCTCTAGTACTTTCCCAGCTTCCTTCTCCAACCAGCTACCATCCCACTTTGGGTGGAATACCAACCAGCATCATTCTACATATCTCCTATGAGCCCAGCCTGTCATTGATACACTCTCTGGGGGTGGGTCATCACGCAGCCTGGGTTTCTACCTATGTTGCCTGACCCCAGCCTAGTGTTGACACACTCCCTGGGGGTGGATCAGAACACAGTCTAGATTCACGGTACTTCAGGATTCCATGTGCTGTTACTCAGTCCAGGAAGGACCCCCATCACCACTGAAAAAGAAGAGGAAGGACCATGACACCACCAGATGAGAAAAAAAAATATCATAAGAAGTAAAATATAGGTTGTTTTTGAAAAAAAAATCTAGGGAAGGCCTTAATGAAGGGGAATGGTGACAGTGAAAGTGGACCAACTTGCTGCTGTTTCGCTTTGAAATTAAAGGGGAATGGAATCACCATTGGACTCAAGAAGAGGGATGTGTACCCACTGCACCTTGGTAGGAAATCAGTAGGTAGGAAATCAGTATTATATTATGTTATACCTGTGCTCCCTGGGCTTTCAGTGATATGTAGCCTAGCATAATAAAATATGATCATAATCTCAATGTTTTAAAATACCAGCAGCCTGTCAAAGATGGGTCTATGACCATTTATATCTATTTTGGTTTGCACATTTCATTTATGAACAATGGTAGATTTATTACCACAACTAATGGAAGCCTAAGATGGCCATATTCCGAAAACAGCTACACTATTTGAATTGGCATTTCAAAGGTTTATTAATGATGGTGGTACTGTAATTCTCTGGAAAGTTCCAGATGCACAGGAACATATGTTTTAACACAGATGTCCATGTTATTTGGGTATAAAAAGGAATTTGCAAACATTCTAAAGGGTACAAGTGAAGGGTACCATTAATGCTACAGCATATATAGATATTCAAGAGTCTAGACAATTGTGCTTTCAAACATCTGGCAACAGCTTAAAACTTGGACTATAAAGGCCTCAACCTCAATATACACCTGGTGGATAATTCTAAATCAGGTGTTCTTGTTCGGGTATTTTCAGTAAAGAATACTATTAATACTACAGCATAGACAATTGTTTACATTCAACATTGTGGTGACATTTTAGAGAAGACCCATCTTGTCTCAGCATGACTGTGTCTCTCTTCATAAAGCCAGGTTAATAAAGACACGGGGGTGATTTAGTAAAGGCAAATATGCTGCTCACTTTACAGTAGAATGTTCCCTTAGCTTAGTGAAGTTGAGGCTCTGATTACTTACAACATTTAATCATACAAGCAAAAATACTGTTTTTTGTGTTCTTTTTCCTTGCATTTCATTTGGATATTTAGGTAAACTTTCACTGCGTTCACTGTGCTAGGGCAAAATTTCCTTGCAAACTGTACATTTTGCAAAGTGAACAGCCTGTTTGCCTTTAGTAAATCAACTCCAAATATGGAGAAATTTGAGTGTCCTGCACAGAGCCCTAACTGTAAACCTTTTGAACTCCTTTAGGATGAACTGGAGCACTGATTGCATGCCAAGTCTTTTTATCCATCATTACTTGACCTCACAAATGCTCTTTTGGATGAATGGTCACAAATTCTCCCCTAAACACTCCAAAATCTTCTAGAGAGACTTCCTAGATGAGTAGAGGCTGTTATAGCCACAAAAAGGGAACCAACCAGCTAGATATTAAGGATGAAATATGGCGCCAACACACCAATTGTCGATTCAAGTAAGGAGTGGGAGAGGAGTATACCACATGACAACTCTAAATTAATGCCTATGGTGTTGGAATGGGATGTCCGACAAGCTCATATATGCAGGGGCAGACTGACCATTCCAGCACTCGGGCACCGCCCGAGGGCCCCGGGTCAGTAGGGGGCCCCATGAGATGCCTTTGATACCTTTCACAGGCTTTTTTGGGTGTGGTTTGAGTGTTGGCTAGGACACAGGGGCCCCATGATTTCCTATTGCCCAGGGGCCCCATGAGTTGTCAGTCCACCCCTGCATATATGTGTAATGGTTAGATGTCCACAAACCTGTGGCCATATAGTGTTGCATAAATGGCCTTTCTGTTGTGCACTCTATGGTTTGTGTATGTGCTCTGAGCTTAGGGTGAGTGCATCATGCAGCAGAAATTAGTTTACATTTAAGGTACCAGATGCCTTTCGGACTGCATTGGGCAGCTATTCCAGTGCAGTCAAACAGTATGAACAAAGCCAAATGCCTTGCTTCCTTTGTGCCCAGTTCTTACCACTTCATTGTGGTGGTGTGTGGGCATGGAGTACTTTTTCTCAGTGGAGCACAGTGAGAGTCAATCCACTGCCTTGAACCATGCAGTCAGCAATTGAACTTTTTGATCTGTCTTTGTGAAATCTCAATAAAGTCTGTTAAAAAAAGAAACAGTGAAATCCCTTGAGCTCAACGCATTTCCACTGTGCTGATCTCAGCCAGATCTCACTGCATTGCACCGCAACAGCTGGTGTGAACCAGCCCTTAGTCAATCTTATCTTTTTTTGACAAATAGTTAAACTCAACAAAATAATCTTTCCTCAGCCTGACTCAAATAACTCTGGATTGTGTTTTTTTATTTCACCCTATTATAAGCATCCTGATTTCCCTAATCTATGGAGAATCATGTAATTCATGAATGCAAACTGCATGGATTATGAATTGGGTGATTCTCTGCAGATTGGACTACCAGTGTGCTCATATTCAGGTGAGTCAAAATTTGGCCAAAAAAAAGAAGAGATTTTCTGAATGTCACAATTTTATCCTGTTTACAGATCCATTTGCTTATCTATATTCTTCAAAACCTCCCTTGCTCCATCTTTCTATATATATATGATTATGAAGTACACAGGAAAAAGTATCTTATTATCAAGCAGCTTATAAGAAATGTCACGCTCATCTTATGGATATTTATGCATCAGCTTGTGAAGTTTTAAGTGTCTTCACTTCATATAACTGCTCATTCAGCCTGCGTTCGAAGCGCTGTCTGTCAGTATCACAGTAATATTAGTCTCACGCCTCCTGATTACTTGGGTTCTTTGCATTTGGAGGTAGTAATAAATCCAAAATATGATCACAATAAAATCCATGGTTTTTTCCTTTTAGTACACAGGTCTGGAATATTGATGAGCTTTCCCTTCTTCCCTGTTCTTTTTTTTTTTTCTCTTTTTCTGAGACACAGGCATTAATAATTGCAATATATTTAAAGGTCTGCATTGTTTACACGTTTTCATATATTTTTTATTAAGATTACAATATTTTTTTTCCTTGCAACTCTGCAGCCAGATAATAAAGAGGGAAGATTTATGTCTCTTGTAGCTCTCACTGAAAACGAATATTCAGAGATACAGCCTGCCACTGATGTAGAGTTTGCTGGCAAAGTAAAAGTTAACTCTTACATATACATGACAGCCTGTTTTACTACAGCAAAATGAAATTGGCAGAAAAACATTCCAGATCAGAAATTTAATTCTAAATAATTATAGTATGCAAAACATATGATACTTGCCTATGTTGATATCAGCCCAGATGCCTACATTGGCTGCTATACTATTCCACAATAAACATGAATCACACATATTGATTGAAATTAAACTGTAAGAATAACACAAAACAAAACATATCCATTTCCATCCACCCCCTTGATAAATGTTAATAAGCTAGTTCATATATATGAGCATGTAGGAGATTATACAGGATGGTGTAAAAGAAAAAAATATTGCTAAAATACAAGTGCTAAAATACTAATGCCAAATGACCTCTCTTTATTGCTTATAACACTACTATGTGTTATTTTAGACAACATGTTCAAACAGCTGGAAAAATCCCAGAATCACTCTTTATGTTAGCAATCTTTAAAGTGTTACTAAACCCACAGTAAAATCAGGCTGTATATGCAGTAAAGCATGCTTGTTATACTCACTGGGGAACCTAAGGGGTTAATCCTCTGCACTGTGTAAAAAGGCTGTTTGATCCTGACTTCTCTGACCCTCCCCTTCTTCCAGTGTCCCCTCTTATCTCCTGATATGACATATTGTGTGGAGACACCCTGCACATGCTCAGTTTGGTGTGTATTGCTAGAGAGTTTTTTTCTTGGGAGAGTGCATGTGATCAGCACCGGGTCAATCTGGCCGGCACTGGCCAGATAGAGGTCAGGGGTTCTGCATCCTCCCAGAGCAGAATGAAAACTCCTGCTACAAGCGTTAACATGTACTCTGCTGGACACTGGTAGAAGTCACAAGGCTGCTCTAACTTCTGATGAGAAAAGGTATTTAGCAGTTTATAAATAATTGCATTTTTCATGTTCTGTGTACTGTGGGAGACCAGATATAGTGAATGCAGGGTCCTGGGTTTTTTGTAACACTTTAATGTCTCTTGCCATCCGCCTGCTGTTTATATAAACGGCAGCAGTCCAAGGTCTGGGGTTGCCCCGTTCCTAAACGGCACCCGCCTTTTCTAGCTGTGCGCGCTCCCTAGGAGCGCACCAGAGGGTGTCCGCTGTGTCCTCCGGACACAGTGAAACACCGTTCGGACGGGACCTCTGTACATGTCCCGGTCATTGTGATCACTGATTGGCGAATCAGTGATCACATGCAAAGTAGTAAGGATGTCTGACATCATTGCTTCCCACGTGTGAAAGTGAATGATCACAAGGTCACTGGCAAGGCTCATGTGACAAAGCTTCTCATCAGTATTTCTCTGCTGGACAGAGAGAAAGAGAAATGATTGCTTTTTTTTGCTTTTACATCCTGGTAGCAATTAAAAGGGCTGCATCAAGTAGTACATGTTCTGTGTGACACTGTACTGAGGGTGACGAGTGAAAAAAAATGTTTAAAAAATTATAATGTTTGGTCTAACTAATTTGGTTACTTGAAAAAACAGATTTAATGAAATATTATTTATTTGCAAAATTTATATAAAAAAAAACATTTTTTTTTCAAAAGCATATAGTGAATGCAGGGTCCTGGGTTTAGTAACACGGACTGGTTAATGTCCTGCACAGCATTGCTAGTGAATGCAGGGTCCTGGGTTTAGTAACACGTTAATGTCCTGCACAGCGGGGCTCAGACTGGGGGAGGTACGGGCAGTGCTGTAAGTAAGCCAGGTTCTACTGCGGCATCATGCTCTCTACCTATTTAACTGAGACAGGTAGTCGGCAGAGTGATGAATTCATCAGTGTTCTACACCATTTATATTGTTTGTTCAAAGGTTGGGAAGGTTCCAGAGCGGGCTGTATGGTTTATCCACTGTTTATTCTAGCTTAGTGGTTACCACTTCTGCCTTACAGCATTAGGGTCTCCAGTTTGAACCTTGGACAGCATGCTATCCACAAGCAAGTTCTCCTCATGCTTGTGTGGGTTTCCTCCTGGTACTCCAGTTTCAACCCATACTCCAAACACTTAGTAGATTGATTGGCTCCTGTCTAAATTGGTCCTAGCTTGTGTATGTATGCATGTGGGATAGTGACCTTAGTTTATAAGCTCCTTGAGGGCTGGGACTAATTTGAATGTACAATATGTAAAAAGCTGCATATTTTGTCAGCACTGTATAACTACCTCAAATAATAATAAACAGACCTAAAGAACTGTGATCTGGCTGTGCTGTTTGTCAAGGATGCCTTAGGCTTGATTACCAATTGTGCATTGCAGTAATGCACCTAGTACCATGTGTTACATTGCAATTCGTCTGGGTGAACGTGCATATGATGTCCACCTGGAATGGCGCATCCCACCTGGCCATCATTTGCCTATAGGCTGGGTGGGAACTGGCTAAAGCAAAACCATAAGATGATATAAAATACTCCTATTTACCCCAGTTATAGGTCTTTTAAAATTTGCTAAAATTTAAGTCCATCTTTTTGACCATTTTTCATGGTATACTCATATTTATGGTGTAACACAAAACATGGTCAGAGTCTGTATCGCTCCACCCTCAATCCCCAGTGTGGCTGGGACTGGCTTCTCTTGCATACCTGTATCATTCTTTCACAGAGGTCTGTAAATGAAAAATCTGTCACCGAGGCAGACACTCATAGTTCTCAATGGAGCACAAGTATGGGGATGTCACTGCATTTGTAGTTCATTAATACTTCCGCAGCCATGTAACTGAAGGTCCAAGCTGGAAGAAATGTCTGATTGTTAATGCAATGCTGTGGCACGAACTGTCACCCGCTGTCGACTGGGCATATCTTTAGTGTACCGGATGCTTCCAATACAATGTGATCACTGTGACCAATCACAGCAGATCACATGACAATTGTACACAATAGATGGCTTTCTTTTTTGCCATCCATTGTGTACTGTTGTGTTGATCTCTGTGATTGGTCACCGTAATCACATGGTACAAACAGGGCCAATCACAGCCTATCTGTACCATGTGATTAGCTGTGGCCAATCACAGCTAACTACAATAGTAAACACTAAATGAATAAATTTCATTCAGTAAAAATGGTTGCTTATAACAGTGATATTCTGGTATAAGAAATCATAGTTTATAAAAAAAAATCTTGAGCACTTCCCCAGAATGCACAATGTTACTATGGTAACACAGTATTGCTCTGGTCACAGTGTGAAAAAAAAAAAAATCTCAAAAAGAATAAAAAAAATTTATAAAAAAGGCCAAAATTGGAAGAAAGTAAAAACAATTATTAATGTTAATATAAATGTTTTTTACTTACTGTCACCAGTCAGTGTCTCTGATCACCACCACACCAGCTACATGATGAAGCTGTACTGCACTGGTGACAGAATGTTAAACAAAATGTGAAAAAAAATATTTTTTTGAAATTCTTCATTTTCTAAAACATTGTGACAAAAAATGACAACTTCAAAAGCTCAACGTACTAAATACCTTAGACAGTCTACTTTCCAACAAGGGGTCATTTGGGGGATATTTGCACTGTCCTGGCATTTTAGGGCCTCAAGAATTGATATAGATCATCAGTACAGGACTGATCAATTTTCAGATACATATCCCATAGTTTGAGGACTCTATAATTTTCCTACTGACTAAATATTAAACACTGATTTGAGTTATTTTCAAATGTAGCAGAATTCAGTTTGGCCTAAATTTTTGAATAAAGATTATTTATTTGCACAATTTTATAACAGAAATGAAGAAAACCCTTTTTTTTCAAAAATGTTTGGTCTTTTATCATTTCTTAAGCAAAGAAATTAAACAAAAAAAACAGTGGCCATGACATACCACCAAACGAAAACTCTATTTGTGTGGAAAAAATGAAAACAATTTAATATGGGATCAATGTTGCATGACCGCACAATTGTCATTCAAAGTGCAACAATGCTGACAGCTGAAAACTGGCCTGGGCAGGGCGGGGGTGAAAGTGCCTGATACTGAAGTGATTAAACAATCATCATACAATCATCAGTCCATCCCCTCATGCCAGGGTACTAGGTGTAATCCTAGACTTCCATCTGTCCTTCCAGCCCCAGATCCAGTCACTGACAAAATCATGTAGACTTCACCTCCACAACATCTCCAAGATACGACCGTTCCTAACCCCGGAAATCACTAAGCAACTTATTCACTCCCTTGTCATATCACGCCTCGACTGTTGTAACTCCCTCCTCATTGGCCTACCTCTTCGCAGGCTATCCCCCTTCAGTCTATCATGAATGCTGCCGCCAGACTCATCCATCTTACTAACCGCTCTGTATCTGCCACCCCTCTCTGACAATCCCTCCACTGGCTCCCAGTTGCCCAAAGGATAAAATTCAAAACACTAACAATGACATATAAAGCCGTCCACAACACTGCCCCAAATTACATCACCGATCTTGTCTCTAAATATCACCCAAACCGTACTCTCTGCTCCTCGCAAGACCTCCTACTCTCTAGCTCCCTTATCTCCTCCTCCCATGCTCATCTCCAGGACTTCTCCAGGGCGTCCCCCATCCTCTGGAACTCCCTACCCCAATCTGTCAGACTATCGCCTACTCTACTTACTTTTAGGCGATCACTGAAAACATATCTCTTCAGGGAAGCCTATCTTGCCCTCTGCTAATACTGGAATCCTGTACTCTTCCAACCAATCCATCCCCCACAGTTATTACCTATTGTACCATTAACCCCTCCCTCCTAGATTGTAAACTCCAAGGAGCAGGGCCCTCAATTCCCTCTTATATTGAACTGTATTGTCTCCCACTATAATGTAAAGTGCTGAGCAAACCGTTGGGTCAGTACACAGATATATTAAACAGATTCTCAGTAGAACACAAGGGAGCTCCGACAACAATGAAGTTGCTCAGGCAATGTGGCCCAATCTGAGCACATCTTAAATAGACAGGCAGACAAGGAGGCGGGACAGGAAGTGGTGGAAGGGAAGGACATAAAACCCAGGGAATAGCAGACGATGCCCAGAGGTGAGCACAGACAAACACACATGTGAAGAAATCAAGAGCAGCAAGGAGGTAAGAATAAACACACCAGAGGCTGCAAGCTAACTTGTGACAGATCCTGCTTGAAAAGGAAAGGTTCCCTTAAATTTACTAGCCCTCACCCCTGAATTAAAACTGCTCATTTAAACATAAAATATGTAACACTGAAATAAAAAGGTAACAAAATAAAAATCATATTCCACTCTAGTTTCCAGCCCACATATCTAGGTGAGGGTGACATCATTCAGTCTTACAGCAGGATCTTGCAAGACTGCATGGGATCCTCAGAGGCAAAAATATCAAAGTTGGGTGTAAAGTTAGCATTTTTTGCTTTTTTTCTCCAAGTGTTCTTTTAGCATGTGCTTGGGGTCTTGTACACTGTACTGATGTATAAACACCAGGGGGGAGATTTATTAAAACTGGAAAGTGCAACAACTGGTGTAGCTCTGCATAGAAACCAATAAACTTCCAAGTTTTATTGTCAAAGCTTAATTGAACAAGCTGAAGTTAGAAGCTGATTGGCTACCATGCGCAGTTGAACCAGCTCCTGAGTGCTCCAGTTTTAGTAAATCTCTCCTCAGATGTTGTAAATTCCTACCCAAAAATTAGAACTATGGCCTGTATAGTGCATACATTTACAGAATTATACACATATAGGTACATAAAATGCCAAATATAATCTACTATTCAAAGGGGCAGGTGCGGTTTAC